ATTATTCACATTCGTTTTTAAAATAAATATTAAATCATACAAAACAAACAAACTGTCCGGGTAATAGCTACAAAGGGCAAACCGCCAGCCCGGAGCAAGCCTTTGTTCTTGGATTAGCCGGTCCACCTTATCTTACGTTGGAACATCCAGACTTATCGCAACACCTTTGACCGTCCACAGTTATTAAATAGTACAGACAGTTTATAACAATCTCGATTTATCTTACACATTTTTTTTTTATTTTTCTTCTATCGACCAATGTAAAAATTCTTTACATATATGGCAAATCATAATATACGGTAATGATATTTATGCAACTTCAATTTAATTAGAATTCTATTAATAAAATACGTACACAATATACTATAATTAATAACATTTCATCATAATATAATTAAAAACATAATAAAAAAATGAAATTGCTGTTTCAAATTTTAATGCGAGAAATGTGATACTTTGTTGTTAGGTGGTAACTTACACAATGTACACTTTGTATAAATTCCTCTGTCAATGCCATGTAGCTTGCTTTGTAAACTGTGGTCAGTTGAAAGGAGAGATATGGCAGTGAAATTACAGAGTACCGATGCATGACACCTTAATCCACTGGAGTGGCAGAGCACTAGTGCTATCACGAATATAACCTAATGTAATGATGCCCGTAGTACTTAATAGTATTTAATATATAATATAGTATTTAATTGTTGTCCAGGCAAACGTTGTTTTCCCATATAAATAAATATTGCTAATAAAAAATAGGGGTTGATGGTAAAAGGGTGAAAATTTATGGTTGTATGTATTTTGCCATATAATAAAAAAAATAAAATAAAAAAAAATGTCGAAGAAAAACTTTTGAGGTGGGCCACCCTTATTAACATTTATAAACCTATTGAATATACATTCACAAAATTTAGTCAAAATTGGTCAAGCCGTTTCGTATAAATAAACACGGAACCAGTGATACGAGAATTTTAGTATGTATTTTGCCACATAATAAAAAAATAAATATAAAAAATATGTCCAAAAAAAAAACTTTTGAGGTGAGCAACCTTAAATCGTAATAATAATTTATAGTAATCGATATAAATACATATAATCAAATTTAAAAGTACACTAGTATGATCTATATATATTACACACACTGTTTCAGTTTATATACTATATGTTAATTTATTAGACATAATAGTTATTTTGATAAAAATTATTCTAGTTTAAAACTCAACATATACGATATTTTTCCGCTAATCTTACGTCGTATATCAGATCTAACTTTTGCTGGTAACGTAGTGAGAGGCAGTAGCAGTTTTACAGCTTAAACTTCTAACGATAATGTTCCTTGCAATCAGCCGGTCTCGGAAGACCCATAGCGGCCACTTCACAATGCGCTCTCAATTACAGGCATACATAAAACACTGGTTAAACTTAGTACAGTAACGTATTCACATGTGACTAATAAATCATATGAGTGCGGTTGCGCTACCAGTTTCAATTTAACTTTGGGCCTTGTCTGAGTAACGTGACGTCATTAAATTTGTTGGAACTTTGTTACTGGATGCTTCGCTTGTGTACGTGATGCAAAGTAAGGTTTTGTGCTTAAGCATGTGTCTATAGGGTTGAACATTAGAATGGGGTAGTCAGAAGAATTGTCGACTGTCTCGATGACGTGATGACTGCAACACTTGATATGGCTACATTTTCCTGAATTAAATAGAAAGTGGTAGAGGGCGAGCGTACCGACGTTTCATCGATTCATATTGGTTCGTTAATGGTGTTTCTATCAATGAAGTGTCAGACAGAGATATACATTAATACACTATGACTTTTATAAGTTTGTATGAAAATTCGAATTCACATCCATAAAAGTCCTAGAGGTCTACATTCTTAACAACAACAAGATGAATCAACGTTTAGATAAAATGTTAATTACTATTAACATTAACACTAGGTTCCAAATGAAAATATATTTTTCAATGCTAATATGGATTAATTAAGGTAACCGGATGGGAAGCATAGACGGGACTGATGTGTATCTTGAAAAACAAGGAAACCTAGCATGATGATAAAAATACGTTCGAGATAAGTTCTATTAATTGTCTGTGTGGGATGCAAAAACAAAATCTCATTCCAAGAATAATACAGACGGTATTTTCTTTGTAAATAAGTATAATTATTTTCCAATTCCAATACTCGGAAGGTAATTCCAATAGAGTAGAATGGCAAAGAAAAATAAAATCATCTTGTAGACCAATTGAAATTATGTTATACGAAACAGTTAAGACTGTTGTATAATAAATATTTTATATTATTTAATATTATATTATACTAGCTAATTCGTATGCTTTTTGAGATTAAAGATACGCTTTGTCCATCCTCGTGATACAGTTTAACTGTTCATTTTCATTATGATCAGTTCAGCCTTTTAGTTGTGAAAATGTTACAATCAGACAGACAGACAGACAGACTTTTGCATTTATATCATCACTATATATATGTATGGATATAAACGATGGTTACTACATCCATTAGCATTATAGCACACATTGTACATTCTATGATATGAAAAGTATATTTTAAATTAATGCTGAGAATATTCCGCATGCATGGTGCAACCCACATGTAGTAGTTTACTAAGATAACATTCTGTTATTCCACGGATTTGCATATCAAAACTGTTTTAATGAGAGTTAATTTGTTCAAACGAAAAGACAACAAGCATTTCCTATAAAAGCAAAACATAGCTATACGATAAAGAAGTAATTTTACCATAAACAATAGTAACTTTCCACATTATAACAGACAATTGCAAAGATAAACATTATAATAATACTATAAAATAAAAATAATGCCAGAAGTATTCAAAAAGTGACGAGTAATGTACAAAAAATAGCAATTACTTTTTTACATTTGAATCTAACGTAACAGGGGGTGAGCTAATCGCCATATTTCAGACTAGTTTGGTATATGTTTTATATTATCTGTTTCCATGTAAGCTATATATACTTTTTTGTGTGTCGGTTATATTCGAATTCTTTTGTATCTATATATTGTTAGTACACCAGTAGGACATAACACTGAATAATTAGCGTTCACAACTGTTTCGACACTATTATGTATGAACAAGAAATTAAAAATAAATTTTACATGCCATAATAGCCTATACGACAAAAAAGACTGGACTGTGGAACATAATTGTCCGTATTAAGCTAACTCTAGTTTTCAAATAGTCTATGATTAATCGATAACATCATGTACAGGATACATCACTCTTATTGGACTGTCAGCTTTGATAATATCGAAACAGGACTATTATGTGTTGTGGTATTGTAAATTATTGTCAATATTCCATAGTAATAAAATAGGAAATGTAATCAATAGTGTGTATAGACTGCTTATGGTTCTTGGAATTGGAGAGAGAATTTTGCCTCAGTAGTAGACAACTATTATTAAATAAATAAAAGTACATATTTGCATAGTCTATTTCTATTTCTTTACGTGATTTCGTGATATAAATATACTCATATTTCTTATCTATTTAGGCACAACTATTTAGTTATGTGTAATTAGATAACTTAAAATTAAATCTTAAAATTTAAATTGTATGCATTAGTACAGTTAATATAAATTTGTGTAGACTATTTGAGTAATTTAGAGAGGTAAACTTTGTACAGAGTCATATTCGTGTATGGGTACTATGTCTCATTTATTTCTCGTTTGTATCATTTATATCTATTGTCAAAGAACTTGCTTTTAACATAATAATATCTATACAGTGACATTATAGGGTATGGAAGCAATACATAATACTTTAGTCCTCTCAATAGTATCACGGGCGTCACAAGATATATGGTACGGTATAGTCTACGTGTGCCATTTTGCATCATTTTGTATTATTCCAGCTACATAAAACAGAAATATTAATGTAAACATAAATGCATGATAGATTTCAGTACAAAATACCGCACTACTATGACAAGTGCTGGTAAACAATGGCTAAAAGCTGAAAGCCGCATCAAAATTAAGCCCATTACGACGAGACCGCAACAATCGGCCGCCACATCCTGGATAATGTCACGTTGGATATTGCGAGTCTATTTGTGACGCAAATTTGAATCTATAGAAGAAGTAATAATATATATAACAAAAATTAATATAAACAAATTATCCGGCTTTTTCTACTGTTGTTTACTATTCTACATATTAAATAAACTGAATATCATCATCATCATTTCATTACATAGTATAAGATAAAGTTACTGCCGCTGTCTGACCCTATGTATGTATTTAAAACTACACTACGGATTTTGAACCGGTTATTTTAATAGATGGAGTGATTCTAGAGGAAAGTTCATTTACATGTATATAATACATGTACTCCCGTGCGAAGCCGGGACGCGTAGCTAGTTTACCATAATATACATAATTATTTAAACCAAGCCAAGTAAGGGTGAGGTTAGGCAGTGAAGTCACAGGATAGTGCAGTTGAAATGGTAACGCATTATCGGTGGCACATGATGAGATGTTCGTGTATATAGGCAACGCTTACCTCTTACAATCAGGTTGAACGTTAGCTTACCATTTCAATTATGTAAAAAAATACTACTTCATGGTCAGGCCAGGCTTGAATCAATCAGTTGATGAAATTTCATGAGACAAGAATATTATCTAAATCATTAACAGGGTCTTAACACGAATAATTTTATGGCAAATAAAATGTATTTACCTCTCTCGACGTTTCGACTAGGTTGCACTAGCAAGCGTTTCTGTACCAAGGTGAATACTACCTTCAAATAGATAGCGTTGCAATGGGGAGCCCAGTGGCACCTTTAGTAGCTAATATTTGGATAGAGCACATTGAGACAAAGATTCTTGCTCTCAGACCATTAGAAATTAGCCTGTGGAAAAGATATGTAGATGATGTTTTTTGCATATTTAATGGTACGCAACAATAAGCAGACGAATATCTAAAATACCTAAATTCCATACATTCTAAAACCAAATTTACAATGGAATTGGAGAAAGATAGGTCCTTGGCCTTCCTGGACATCCTAGTTATGGTGAGATCTGATGGGTCGGTTACACACACAGTATACCGGAAACCAACACACACAGATAGATACCTACATGCCTCCTCACATCATCACCCACGACATTTACAATCAGTCGTCACTACTCTCACAAACAGAGCGCAAGATCTCTGTGCCCCTGAATTTGTAGAACAAGAACTATCTCACGTTCAAGAAGTACTCAAGAGAAACGGTTACATGATGAGTAGAAGGCAAAATAAGCGCGTAACAAAAGCTAAAATACCGGAAGTGAACAGACAGCCAGCATACATGACTTACTTAAGAGGAATAACGGTCAAAATTGGAACAGCATTAAATAAATACTCCATTATGACTGTATATTAACCGCCCTCAAAAGTAACGAACAATTTACGTTCACCAAAGGATAAGCTACCTTCCGAAGCTCCAGGTGTCTATTATCACATCTATACAAAATTGACTGTAGTTGTGGTAGCTCTTATATTGGCCAAACAAAACGATCAATAGCCGAGAGAGTCAAAGAGCACATTGCAGCGGTTAAAAATCGACAACCACACAAATCAGCGATTGCCGATCATCTACTGAATGCTGGAACAAATCACTGGATTGAACTACATGCGCCTAAGGTCCTCTCTACTGATCGCCACTATTACCCACGAATGGTCCGGGAGGCGATTGAAATTAATAAACATCCCAATTTCAACAGAGAGGATGGCTTAAAATTATCATCTGCGTAGAATCCAGTCATAAATAAATTCAAGCAAAGTTCAGTAGCATCAATAGTCAATAAGTGTACGGATACCGTGAGTGCTGTATGTCGCGAACTTTCGTTAAATAATCTAGTGACGGTAGATGAAGAAAAAACTCCTGTCACCTATCTACATTGACATCGCTGTTACTCCAGTCAGCTCGTGACCACGGCTAGTGCAACCTAGTCGAAACGTCGAGAGAGGTAAACCTTTATTTGCCATAAAATTATTTGTGTTAAGACCCGGTTAATAATATATCACAGAAACAATAAACCGTTACAAGTTTTTTATACGACTGTACTTAAAATACCAAAGATGTCTAATATATCAAACAGAAATAGCTACTTTTGAATAAAAATGTATTGCAATTTTAAGTATTCAACGTAGCCGCTTTAAATAAATGACTGAGTACACAGGTAACCATCGGAATGATAATGCATGAGGGTTTCTCTATGTTGCGGTATTTACTTATATTTATGTTTGTAGGCAATGTTTGTTTTCTCCCAGGTGGTCCGCACATATAATAATAATTCCAATTTAATAAAAAAGAAGAAGCAAAAATTTGTTACCCGTAACTAGCTATTTTTGTGTGTTTCAGATAAATGAAAGAACCAAGGTAAGATACAGATATAGCCTTCTTAAATCATTATTATTAATTAAGGTATATTATGTAGCACATTTTGAGAGGTTAAGAGTAGAGTGAATACACTTTATTACTTATAATGATAGTAATGACATTCTTTAAGGATACCAAAATTATTGTTTTCTTGATTATTTTATTTACTCTTACTTATTATAAACTACTCACTCGATTTTTATATAGTTTTCATTATTTTTGGGAAGGATTTTATATGCACACATCACAGATGAGATAATATTACCTACATAGTTATTTGAAACCGAGGTGAGGTCACTGGTATCAGTGATACCGGTGACCTCATCTCACCTATAATATTACTGGACATAAAATGAGTACTCTATTCTATATGATTCCACTCTGAGATAGCTCGCAATGAAGTAGATATGAGGTTTCGATTCAATAGGATCTTTGAGTAAAGGTTGTAATGCGATAATCCGGTTAGCGGTAACTAAAGTGTCTGTCTTCATATTTTAGGGATTGAAAATTTGACCCTGCTACAGAATACCTAATATGCCTTTAAGATACTTGAGCTACCCGCCAAATATTTGTATTAACCTCACTTTCAGTTCGACATTCCAAAAATGTGTAATGTAAATTTTGAGTTAATTACAGCACCTAAACACAATGCTATTACTCGTATTTATTCTGTGACCTAAATAAATATGGTTTTGCAGCTACTTTAGGAAGAGCAGAGAAGAAATTCAGAAGGTTAACACAAAATTAAAAAATAATGTTGGCTGAAAACTGAACTTTATATTCATATTACAATTGCGAGTTACATTTGTAAGCATTTATTGTTAATTACATAATTTATTTTCTTCTATTACTGACGAAACTATGTTAATTACTATGTAAGTATATATTATTAAAAAAAAAATAACGTAAATAAATTAATTTACAAACTACAGTTATTTTTTATTTCGATATAAGATATATATAACATAAATAATTTTGTAACTTAGTATTTTATTTCATAATCATAGTAATTTATTTCATAGATAATAATTTTGAATAATAAAGCCTTTACTTATAAATAAATTATATCTATTACAAAGTAAATATTTTACAAACAGTATCCAGTAACTATTGCTTGTTGTTGATGTTGGTTGAAAAAACAATTTTTATTAATACCAGCGCTCACATGCCAGCGATATTGTATTCAGTTAATCAATTCACAACTATAACTATGTAGCTACAATACTACGCCCGCGGTTGTTTATGTTAAATTAACCAATCTCTTGTGTATTGGCTCGTTAATTAGCTACTATAAATAAAATAATCATGACATTACACCAAGTTTCTGTTATATGTCTATAACCACAATTAATTATAACATATAATGAAAAAGTACAATGGTTTCATACTGCTGTTTTCGTCGCACTTAAATTTGCAGAATTTTATCCCGTTCAAATATCAATTTAAAATCTAAAAATAAATACCTTAGATACCTAGTAGACAATTTTTAATATTTCTAGCCACAATAATATCTTTCAAAATTTTTGAAATTCCATTACGAGTATAGTACCTAAAATATTACAATGTCAAATAATATTATATGTAATGTTGTTTTTTATTTTATTGATAAATGCACGGATGGTAACTTTAATTTTTAAATCGTCTAAATCTCTAAAAGTATGAAAGAAATAACGTATTTCCGCACTAAAATTCTATACGCCACACTCAATTTAACTAATTAACTTCATTATTTTAAAAGGTTTTATACCCTACAAATATAAATGGGTTAAGATATTGCTACACTAGAATTCTTAATGTACATGACAAATAGAAAATTTTAATAAAAAAGAGTATTTTATCACATCTATATTTTTTATAAACACTACATAAACTAACACGTCATATACACAGCTACAGATTATGGAATTAATTTTGATGAAGCCATTTCAGTTTCATAGTAAAGCTAATCCATTAGCTGGTAATACAAGTGAGTATTGCTTTGTTATAGTTGCACAGCGATTTGACATACCCACTCGTACCACCCATGACAAATTGCGTTGGTCTCTTGCGTTGCATCGTTAATTACCAGATGTAAAATACAACAATTGTTAAATTGCATTTTACGGTTAGTCGTGTATTAGGGTATACTTGACATAGCTTAATTGCCTCTGCGATGGCTACATTGCAGCGTTGCTAAGACTGGTTTTGTATATAGTTCTTATTTATAAAACATGAATATGAATAGTTTCGTTTTTTATACAAGATAATTACAATATAAAAAAAGATTCGTACATAAGATGAAAACTTTATGAACGAATCTTTTTTGTTTAATCAAATATTCGTGAAAGATATTTTTGTGTTGATAAGTCTTTCCTGATATTAGGAATGTATTTGTTAAACTGTATATTAGATAAAACATGACACATCGCTATCAGCAGTCAATAACAAAAATCATTTACAATGTTTGTTTAACATAGCTATGGCTATGAATATAATCTATACATCTATACATGTAAATAAAATTGGAGTGTCTGTTTGTAATATTGAAATAACCGTTTTTTACTATATGCGTATGAATATAAATACGGTACATACAATAAAAGGGAGGGTAGGGGGAGGCCTATGTCCAGCAGTGGACGTCTTCCGGGCTGCGATGATGATGATGATGATATACAATAAAATATATTTTTTTACAATTTTTGTCTGTCTGTCTGTTTGTTCCGGCTAATCTCTGAAATGGCTCGACCGATTTTGACAGGACCTTTTTTGACAGGTAACTGATTTAATAAGGAGTAACTTAGGTTACATTTATTTTAGAAAAATAAAATCAATTCTACGCGGACAAAGTCGCGGGTACAGCTAGTAATATATACAATTTTATATTCATATTTAGTGTTGCCTGCGACTTAACGTACGTGTAGTACGCTTAATAGTGATCATACGACGACAACGCAGACTGTTATTTGATTTATGAATGAATTCATAAAATTAGATGCCGAATTAATTATTTATTTTACACAAAATATTTATTAAATAATTTTTTTTTTTTTGCCAATATATTGGACCCATGTTTAAAATCTTATTCAGTGAATATTTCATCATAATTTCTCCAGCCCTTTTGGAACATCTACAAAAATAGACAGGTTATTCCAAAAGTCAAAAGGTAACTAAAGATAAAACTACAGATGTATCAAAATAATAGTGCTTATACTTAATACCTGATGAATCTGATTATAATCGCAAATTACTGTTGTCGTTGAGATGTCAAAACAATAGTCGTTGTTGCAATAGCAGTTTACGTCCATCTATATTGATCCGCGGGGTGTGTACTAAATATAAAGTTCAATAAAAGTCCCCTATGCGATAGGAAGTCCGGGATTTATCGGGCTAACCCCATGTAAATAAATAAAATGGAAGCGCATGCATTTCTTATGAGACGCAAGCCTCGACGCGAGCCGGTTAGAAAAACTATCGATTCTGTCAAATGTCATAGTTATGATAAATGTATCATCGCATATTTTATGTGTTTTTATATTCGTTTATTATATAATAGTCATACTATGTAACAAGTGGAATATATATATATACTATATGTTGACTACCTCGGTGGTCTAGCGGTTTAGCACACTGCTTTACTTCCGATGGTTGTGGGTTCGATTTCTCGCAAAGCTCAAACATTTGTATTCATTAGTGACAAACGTACTCTACTGAATACAAATGTGTGTATCGTGATTGTTTGTATAGTTCTGGGTGTTTTCTATATATTTGTACCAGTTATCTAGAACCCATAACACAAGCTTTAGCTAGCTTAACTCCGGTCGATGTCGCTGTGTGAATTGGCCTGAGATATTATTATTATAATATCTAAATATATAATATAATATAACTCAAAGGTGACTGACGTAGTGATCTATCAATGCACAGCCCAAACCACTAGACGGATCGGGCTGAAATTTGGCATGCAGGTAGATGTTATGACGTAGGCATAGGGGATGAAAGTTTTTATGAAACTTTGTCTGTTT